AGTGTCTTTCCCTCAGGGCTGAGAGTCACTGAGATCTCCTTGCCTTTTTCCAAGTATTCAAGGCCGTCATCGATTGCCTCCTCAGGTGAGCTGCCTACCAAGTAAAGATGCGCTGTTATTAAAGCCATTTTATCAGGTCTGCCTGAATGACTGCCGTGCAAACCATGCATGGTACTCTGGAAAAGTCAGGAGGAATGATAAGGAGCAGCTTTTTTTGAAGGAATCTGAGTCACTCAGGAGCAGGAATGAATGTGGGCTTGGTTCAGAAAGCCCCGCCTGCCCGCACAGAGCTGCAGTGACTTTCTGTCATGATGAAAGCACCTGTCTGTGAACTTTGCTCACAAGTCTGTCATAGTCAGGAAACCCAAGCAATGGGGGATAAACACTTGAATTTTTGTAATATTCCTCTAGTTTCTTAGAGTTGCTTTGAAGAAACAAACTCGGTGTATCCTTTGCATGAACCCTTAATTTGGTAACAAACTAGGAGGAAGGGAAGAAACCTAAGAGATCTTGCTAATGAAGGTAAAGCAGGTGGAAACATCCTGCTGTACTCAGATCCTTAGCTGCTACTTAGCAGGCTACATCACAAGCTCAGCAGAGTGATGACAGGCGTGGGGGTGGCTGAAGAATAGTGGCATACCAACGTGCAAGTGAACACAACCTGACCACTCCCAACCATACACCAAAGGGTCTCCCAGCCCTCACTTGTCTACACATAGATGCTTTGTGAAAGGACCAAAGACTAAAGCTGGTTCCAATAAAAATTTCCTGTTTCCTCTTTAATACATTTGTGTGTTGCTTGCTCAGAGAAAACCCACATATAAAAGTTTCATTGTATTTCCATTGTGCTTTTACTTTCTAATGGCATTTCTGCCCAGCAGGGAATTTATTCTTTTAATCACCCTCATAATTTTTCTACCACCATCCATACATACTAAAACAAAACTTATACCCCACAAACAGAACCAGTTAGACATCTCCAAAATGAACTTGGGGATATCTTAAGAGGATTGAAACAGTAGCTATATGGTTTTCTTTAGTATTTTAAACTTTGTTCATTGCTATGTATTTTTTTAAAGAAAGAACCTATATTGCATGAAGAAACACATTTCTGTAGGTTTTTATCCACTCTCTCACTATGGCATTTGGATGTTAGGAAGCTCATTTTTAAGGAGAGATAATCCTGCCTCTGCCTGTTTCTTATCATTTTATCTTGTGGATGATATTAGTGCCCCACATCTGAGGATCAGTCAGTCTGAGTAGTGCATGAATGAGTATGCATTCAGTGCTTAGACAGAGCCTTGTGTTGGACAGAACATTTAGGTTGGAACCTTGTGATGAGTGAAATTTGACCTTGAAAGGTGGGAGGACATTTCGGCTTGGGGCAATCACAGGGTGTGCGTGAGGCTGAACACCAAGTTGTTTTGGCTAGCAGAGTGGATTACAGAAAACTGAAAAAGTGAATGTGGAAGCCACATGGTGAGCCTAGGAAGCCCTGTAGAGGTGTTTAGACCCAACTCTAGGCAGAATGTGAGGGATAGGATCAAAAATGTAGCTCAAAAGTTTAGTGAACCCAGCCCAGGTTTCATAGAGAAGAGCAAAAATAGACCCAAATGAGGAAGTGGAACTGAAAACTGTTCCCTACCTGCAGAGGACATAGATCTAGGTTCATTTCATAGGAAACATAATACATGAATAAGAGTGAGGTCTACAAGTGTTCCATTAAAAAAAATCTGTGATAACTTTTTAGAGTTTTCTAATTCTGATTTCCATTGAGTTAAATTCTCATTTGTTCGTAAAGCAGGATAATATTTCAGTGTGTGAACATTAGCAGAGCTTGTCTACATCCTGTTGTTTTCTATCTAAGAGGCAAACATTCGCATCTAAGAGCTGCGATGAAGAAAAGGGAGGATCGAATTGCCTAGTCTCTGTGGTTCTTGAAAATACTTTTTAGCTATTATGTCAGTTGTTAATGAGATCATCTGCTGAAGAAGCAAACCTGTACTCAAACACATTTCTTTCTGACCAAGTGGCATGATCTGGTTCAACTTTTGGTTGTGTGACAGCTTTTCATTTTTTAAGTGGTGCCAAGAGATCATACATTTGATGTTCTTGGGGGCCTGCCCATTAGCTCAGGTGTTTAAGTGCCTGTTGAAACAAAGCAGTCATGCTCAGGATGCTGTGGTTCAATCCCCTC